TTGATTCCTGTTCCCATTTGCATTCCCGGCTCCACTACGGGTTCTTGCCATTTCGATCTATATACCAAATCAGACGTTCAGTATGCAACGACGAGAATTAAGATAAGAAAGATTTTATTTACGATCGACGTGTAATTCTCCCTATTTCTCCGAAAAGTTATATGCTAGTTCTAATACCGTAATTAAACGTTTAGAAATCTGAACACATAAAGTTTCTAGATCCGGTCGGCAACAGACCATAGATCCGATCATACAATGCATATCATGAATCATTTAGCACATAAAAGCATGTTAGGCATTTTCCCTAAATTAGCTAGTGTTTGTGTCTATTCAGGTGCTTTACCTAAATTTTATTAGACACACTCCTCACAATCCTTGCTTAGCATTCTAAGTTTAAGTCTAGAAATAAATCAATATTCCTAGTTCGCTTAAACTAATGCTCTGATACCAACTGTAACATCCCCATTTTCACGGCCAGAAAAGACCGATTTTGTTTATGCTTTATAAAAATCAGAGTACCTCTTTTAATAAAAATGTTGCGGAATTTGTTCCCAGTAAAACATGATAAATACGTTATCAAAGCATTTCCGAAGTAAGTATTTTTTTTCATTTTAAAACATTTGGGATGTCATCGTCAATACAGAAACATAAGCATAAACAGAACTTACATTCATTATCACTAGTGATTTATATCTCCTTAATCTCTCAGTGTAATGTGACTTCATATCAAACACCTGTGATACAAATAAACTGAGTCGATCAGGTTGGGAAACCTGGTGAGTACATAGGGTTTTCAACCCACAATAAATAAGTTCATTAACTTTATCAAACCAAACAAACCCGATTACCTGTTCCCGTTATCCTCACTTTACGTCCCTAAAACATCTAACACAAGGGACCTAGTCTAAGGGACTTTCATCGGGGTGACAACACATGCTTCGGGGGTTCCTCAGCAATTCATGTCAAATAAGGCAACCATGTGGGGGGATGGAGTACTGCTGGTGAGCACACAGTTCAAATAAACACCTACAGGTTGTGAGCCTGCTAGCGTTCCACTGGACTGTCTAGAATAGTCTGTGGTCGTCATCTATACGCCGCTAGATGACCGGATCATCAATAACATCTATATCGAGGCCTCTCATTATTTTATTTGGTCACACAACAACTATTACATCTACCCATGTTTTACCCAACACGTTTTGTAGATGTAAAATACATATAGAATTTAAATAATTTAAAACGTGTATAAAAATATTTCACCCAGCATAGACAGCAAGTATTCAGACAATATGCACACATAGCACGTAATTTATATTAAATACTTCATATCTATGTGTAAGATGAAAGGGACCATGCACTCACTTGAAAAGGTGGTGATTCCGAACTCAGACAGCACTTCGCTTCTTAAAAATAATTTCCTTCGACGAAACCTAGTATTATTACCACTAGAGTTTAGTCTATTATTCGCCGAGACTAATTAATAGTCTAACTATTATTACTATTATATAAGCGTTAAAAAATACTTATATAACCCATAATAATAGCCCAAGTACTTATTATAAGTTCCTAATAACGTTACTATAATTAAATAAAAGTTATATTAAAAATAGTGTAGGCGTAGCTCACTTACAGCGGGTTTTATAGAAAACCGGGCTTTGCTTGAAGTAGCGTTCCCGAACCGAAAAGCTCTTTTTCTTGGAGCCTTCGAGCACTCCGGGGCTTCCGCCTCGTGCTAGGGAGGTTTCCTAGGCTTTTCGGGGGGTTTCGGGGCTAGAGAGAGGTTCTAGAGAGAGAGTAAAGAGAAGAAAGAATGGGAAAGGTGTGAAGAAAATGAGGGTGGGAGAGGTTCTATTTATAGGGTGAAAAATGGCTGAACTTGGTGCTACATGTCACCATCTAGTGGCAAGACTTTGGGAGAAAGCAAAGGCCAAGATTGTGCCACATCATCCATTTCCGCACAGCACACTTCCGACTTCTAAAATCCGTAACTTTCACATACGACCTCCGTTTTTTACGTTCTTTATATCCACGCGTAGGTAAAAATAAGATCTACAACTTTCATTTTGACTCCGTTGGCTAATTCTCGACCGATTTTTAATTTAACAGTACGAGGAGATTATACTGTTAAATGTCCGCGTAAAATTCATAACTTCTACATACGGACTCTGTTTTCCTCTGTCTTTTTACCGTTGAGTTCCTATTAATGAGATATTCAATTCTCATTTAGGTCGCGTAGGCCAAAAACCGCTCGATCTAAAATTCAAGTTTTGGGCTGTGCACTGCTAAGCCAAATCTTAGAAAATTCATAACTTCCTCATACGAAGTCAGATTTGGGCGTTCTTTTTTTTTTGTATGTTCTCGGTTTAAAGTATACTACAACTTTTGTTTAGATTTCTAAGGCTAAAAAGTTCTCCATCGTAAATTCACTATTTACGTCTCCCGGTGTCGTGCCGATTTTGCCGTAAAACTTCGACGGACCATAACTTCTTCGTTATAACTCGGATTTCAACGTTCTTTATATGTACAGAACCCTTGAGACGTATTCTACAACTTGGTTAAGATTATTTATTCTAAATAATCTTTTGTAAAAAGTCTTTTTCGACCCCTATTATCTCTAAATTGACTAGCCCGGATCTACGGGCATTACACGTCTTAGACATGATTTCAGATTAAAATTTGAGTAAGAATCAAATCACTGAGCAAAATCGTAATTCAAATCTAAATGAGATTTAGAACTAGAATTTCCAGATCAAATTACAATTTGACTGCAAAATGCGGAACAAAACTAGAAATTCATAGTAACAAATGAAAACTCGAAGAACACAAACGTGTTTAGGAATTTGAAAAGAGCTTAGAGAAATCCTTGCTCTATTACCACTTGTAGGATTGTTGTGATTCTAAAAGATAGAAATCATGATTGCTAAAACGAAATTGAATGAACACATCAAGGTAAAATAAGATTTGAATTTGATGAGAGAGTAAAAAAAGTTCGATTACAAATGACTTAAGAACCTCGCTTAAAAAGTTCTCTCTCTCTCTCTCTCTCTCTCTCTCTCTCTCTCTCTCTCTAATATATAATATATATAGATATATATATATATATATATATATATATTATATATATATCATATATATATATATATATATCTCCCTAATAAATAAGAATCTTATTGGCACATGTCATTCTCTCCTTCAATTTGACAAATATCAATTTGTGGTAATTTAGATATATTTATTTTTCACTTGTCATTTACTTCATTTTTAATTTCCTAATATATCATTAATTTAGTTTCCATAAATTAAATATATCATAATGACTATATAAATTATAAGTTTTAAATTTCAAATTTCAAATTTAATTTTTAATAAATTATAGTTTAAACCTTAGCATTTTACATTTTATTATAATTAACCATTATAGTACACAAGTTTGACAAATAAGCACGTAATTTTAATTTATTTATTTTTCGCATGTTTTTTTAATTTATTTTTCTCATAATTTTCACTTATTTCAAATTTCATATACAAATAAACTTCCCGTTTACTCCTTCGCATTTAACGTTTTATTTTAATTAACCCGTATAATATACGGGTCTCACAACTAGTATATATATATATATATATATATATATATATATATATATATATATATATATATATATATATATATATAGGTGAACCTAAGGGAGTCGGTTAGGAAATGACCAATGAGGTCACGACAGCTAAACAAAGACAGTCCGTCAAAACAAATTAACTAAAGTTGCGAAGCCTAGACAAATAGATATGAAACCAAAACATACGAAACCAAATATCCATTTCGCATTTACAATATGAAAGACTAAAAATACCGCATTGCAAAACCTTTTGCATACTGATTCAAACACAACACTAAGAAATGTAAGACCTAACAAGATAGATACACTTCGACAAAATAGTAACATTCATGTAATACTTGATTGTGTATTTTATCTATACTTTTACGGCTATTTATCACATTTATTTAATGGATCATATTTTTTATTTGAGTTGTGAAATAATATTATATATATAAGTATTATGGAGTAAAATTCAACTCATGACTCAATTCAACGAGACATGTAAAGTTATTTCATTTTGAAAACTCTTTGAATTGGACATTTTTCAGGCATGTACGACAATATATATAATCTTTAAAAATACTCTATTATATAGTTGCAACTATCTTCTTTCGTACATTTGTAAGTATTTCTTATCATTGTTTTGTTAATGAATATACAAGTTATTATCTCTCTTGTGTGGATGTACATAATCTCATCCATTATGGAACTACGTTACATGCATAGCCTCATATTTGCTTTACCGGTGCATGCTATTTGTTCTTTTTGTTGTAGGCATTCTAATCAGTTATTTCCACATCATGTATGTTAAACTTAGTTAGTATGGATAACTTCATAGTTATCGTTTGGTTTCATCCCCATTGTCAACCATAGGCCATTCCGTGTGTCTTTATGTGTTGACCTTTGTGTTAATCTTGTTGGAAGTCGCAAGTCTCACATAATATAATCATATAGATTGCATCTTCCATAGGAAATATAACCATTTATGTCCACCTCATCCCTAAAACTACTTGGCTTAACCTGCATGATGAGCTTAGCATTCTTTCTTTCTTTTTTCTCTTATGGAACCTTACTTTTGTCTTGGCTATATATATATATATATATATATATATATATATATAAAAGGGCGTAGCTACTCATGCACAAGGTGGGTCCTAGGACCTACCTTTTTTATTTTTTAATACAACAATTATATATAAAAAACATAAGGAACTACTTTGTTTTTGCCAAAAAACTTACATTTTCATATTTTTTCTGTTTCATTTATATAAGGAACCATGTTGATGTTGATTTTGATTCTATATATATGCAAAGAGGGTCTCTCTCTCGTTCTTATATCACCAGCCACCACCACCGTCATTTCTCACTCTTTGTTGCTGATCGGAGCTAGCCAAACACCCTCACATGTGCTGCTGTTACTGCTTGCGTGGCTCCATCAGACCAACTCCCTCCGACCACCTGCCACCGTTCACCGCCCCTCCCTTTGAGTTCACATCTGCAGAAAACAAACGAGCAAGGCAGTGGAACTGCCATTGCATGCCGCCACCACCCGCTGTTACCGTGAGGACTTCGATCACCACCACCTACTGTCTCTTTCTTTCTCTGATCCCATCATGAAACCTATTTTCTTCTCTACTCTTGTACCTAGTTATCGTTTGGTTTTATGGAGGGTGTCCCTCCAAATCTTGATGCCGATGTTTCTACGTCATTTGAAGGAAAATTGGATAAATCAAAGTTAGGCTCAAAATCGGTTAATGTTTCACCTCGAATCTTCCTTCTGGTTCTTATCAAGCTAATACAGTGTCTATGTGTGTTAAGAAATTCAATCCAGATGAGTAATTGGCTAAACCTAGGGTTACCAATTTGGAAAATAGCGATGTTGTGAAGAAATTGAGCCCCAATCCTCTGATTCAGTTACAGGTATGCCCTCCCTCCCTCTTCACGATTCTTGATTCGATCACAACCATTCCTCCTCTTTTCTTTTTCGTGTTTTCTGCAGATTTAACGGCTTACCTATCTACAACCCGACTCCTTACCCCCTCTGATCATCTCGATGGTTGTCTGATCATCTAGGGAATAATTTAAAAACCCACACGCACACACAAATCGGTACCTGATCTTCATCTCTGGTGTTTTTTTAGAATTATTGGGTTTTTTTATTTGCTTTTGGATTTTTGATCTCTGAGAAGGGTTTTCAGATGTTCTTGGTTATTTTTCTTTTCTTCTTCCTTCTAAAATGAAGTTTTGTATTAAAGTTTTGGTTTTGTTTGACTGTGTTTGGTTATAGCTTTGTCTGTTTATAGGCATTAAAATCGATAGCTCCTCTTATAAATTTGATTCTAGTCTTTGTTTAATTGTGTTTCATTATTGGCTCGCTTCTTTAATTCTCGGCTCTGTTGGATTCTTGGGTTGTTTGACTATTGGCTTTTTTTAATGTGATTGAAATCAACTGATTCTTGGGTTGTTTGACTATTGGCTTTGGTCGGAGATGACAGGAGGGAAAGGGGGTGGGGGGTCGTGTTTGGCGTTTCTGGAATGCAGGGAGGAGGCATGTATGGTGTTTTTGGAATTGATAAATCAATGGTTGGTGATGGAATGGTCACCGGAGTACCTGTGTCGCGTTTCTGGAATGGGGCACCCAATATCAAACATTGATAGAGAGAGAGAGAGAGAGAAGGAAGAGAGGGAGAGAGAGAGAGAGAGAGAGAGACCCTCTTTGCATATTATTATTACTATTTTTTTTAAATAAGATAAAACATCATAAATGGTCCCTGTGGTAGTGAAATGATGAAAATGCCCTTCAGTTAACGGACAGAACTTAACGGAGTTAGCAATAAGGACCAATCGTCAAATATTTTGAAAGCGTAGGGACCATCTATGATGTTTTTAAACCATAAGGACTAAACTTCAGATTTTGAGAAAACACAGGGACCATTTATGATGTTTTTTCATACATATATATATATATATATATATAATATATATATATATATATATATATATATATATATATATATATAGAGAGAGAGAGAGAGAGAGAGCAAGGATCATTTGAGAACTCATATTTTCCCGAGAACCTGAGAACTAAAAATGGACCGTTAGATTAAAAAAGTTAAGGGCTAAGATCTTTGATGGCAGTTTTGTAAATAAATAGAAAAAAATCAAAGAAGGGTATCTTAATAAAATAAGATAAGGGCATTTAAGGGATCTGGTAATTCTTTTTTTTGAACCGAAAAGGATCTGGTAATTAGCTCCCCAAATAAACATATCAGATCCTAATTAGTCTTTCTATCGCTCGTTTCCTTTTCCCGATTCTTCACCGACTACATCGACCTCCTCCCTAACTCCATCGAGCACCTCCCTACGCCCTACGCCCTCCACCTCCAACGCCTACCCCTTCCATCAATCATCTCCGCCCTCCCTCAATCGACCACCTCTACCTCCGTCAACGATCAACAACGGCTACCAATAAACAATCCTTAATCCGGAACCAAGCAGATGATCACAAGTCGCTCTCATTAACCTAAACGTGTTCGTATTCTCTCTCGCCTAACAGTTGACGCTCCTCCATATCGTTCCTTTCCAAATTCGCAGCTCCATCCGTCGCCTCCTACATCTCCGGCCGTCCCATCCCTCCCACGCCTCCGACACCACCATCGCACAGCAGAACTCCGACTCATCTTCAGGTATCTAGTCCGTTCTTCAGTTTTTCCTGATTTCTATTTATTTTTGCTGAAATCAATGCTCCAAATCTGATAAAATTGGTGATTTCTCGAAAATCGGTAATGAAATCGTTAATATTAAATCGTTTGTTGATTTCTTATAATCGTGATGTTCTGATGAAATTGTGTGCTGATTTCTCCACATTATATGTTTTGATTCGAGTATAGTTGTCAATTACGTGAAAATGAATACAATTATTTTTCAAATTCCCAAAATTACTTAATATGCATTAAGTATAACCTTGGTTATCGATTCCAATAATTCTTCTACTTTTAAACTTTTTTTTTCTGCAGATTGTTCACCCTATACATGATCGGATATTTTACCTGGACATAGAACATAAAAGGAAACTGAAAGAGGAATTGGGTATGTCTTGAGTTTGTGTTTTGGTGATTGTTTGTAATGTCTATACAGATTTATTGATCCTGATTAGAAATCGAACCATGGAGCTTTAAACAAAAGCTTGGTGATGCTGTTTTTATACCAGTTGGTTGTCCATATCAAGTTAGAAACTTGAAGGTCAGATTCTTTGCTTGCTCACTAAATACTTAATATCTGTATGAATGCAGTTTTTGTTATGTTTGTTATTAATTTTGTTGATAAAAAAAACAACTCCTTATACTCAAGTACCTTATACTCAAGTACCTTATACTCAAGTACAATGATTGAACTCCACTTTTTTATGATTAAATATATTATTAGATTAGATTTTTTGATTTTTACATTTCTCAATTGTAGGTTTTAAGGAGTGTGAGTCAATGGTCAGCTGGGACAAGTCAAGTTGAAGAGAGAATTCACAAAGCTTACGGTTCTCTTATTGAAAAAGTTGAACACTTCATCTACATTGAGGTACATCATAACTTAACAAGATATTTTGGTTTTTCGTAATTTTGGGTAATTTTATAAAATACAACTTTTAATAACTTAACATGAAACTTGAGGCAAATGAGTCTTACCCAATTCCCATTAAGTCCCTAAATTTTTACAAATTTGTCTTCATCTTGGCCACACCATAACAAGATTGTCTTCATTTTAAGCCATATGAGAGAGATTGGAAAAGAACATTGTATAATGAGTTCAACACTTTAATCTGGACAACTATGGTTGCTTCTTTTTTACTTAGCTAAATTTATAAAAAGTTCAACGTTGTAATTACATGTGATTCACATGTAAATCACATATGAATTACATGTGATTCACATGTAATTCACATATGAATCACATTTGATTCACATGTAATTCATATGTGAATTACATGTGATTCACATGTAAATCACATATATGATTCACATGTAAATCACATGTACTTCACATATTAATTACATGTGATTCACATGTAATTCACATATGAATTACATGTGATTCATGTAACGCCCCGATTCTCAGGTATTAAATTAATATAAGAATTGTCTTGTTTTCAAGGTCTACTCGACGAGTTGGTTGCCCTACTCGTCAAGTAGCAGCGGGTTGGTCCACGTATTCTAGTGACCTACTCGCCGAGTCCAAGAAGGGGACTCGACGAGTAGGAGCTGGCAGATGAAACCCTAAATTTCGGGGTTTTGCACCCTATTTAAAGGATCATTGGCCTCCCCCAGCCTCCCCTTTACAACTTCTTGGCACCCTTAAACCCTAAATCGTATGTTTGTGTGTGTTTCTTTGGTGTATTAAAGCTTAGAAGAGGAATCTTGGTGAAGAAACACTTGGGAAACAAGTAAATTGAAGCAAGGAGACTCGGGGGAAGCAGAGACCTACTCCAGTTGACACCCTTTTTGAAGGTATTAGGCTGTTACCTTGGCTCATTTCATTCTAGACCTCTTTTGGGTGGATTTTAGGGCTTTCCTAGTATGTTTGGAAGCTTTTCTTGTGTATAAGCTAAGATCTGAAGTTGTAACTTCAGATCTGAACTCTCTTGGGCCTTTAAGTCCATAAAGCTTCCAGCTTTTGCAAATAAGAGACTCTGCTAAGGTGTAAAGCTCCATTAGAAGCTTAGATTGGTCATTTAGAGTCTCTAGGGCCTTGCATGCACGTAAAGTTTGCAACTTTACGTGATAAACATGCCTTAGAAGCTTGGATCGGCAATATGGAGCCGCTGCATGGCTTAAAAAGCGTTTGTATGGATGAAGGATTGAAGGGACTCGGCGAGCCACATGAAGATGGCCATGTACTCGACGAGTTGGATGAACAACTCGGAGAGTCCGTTGAAGATTGCCTTGGACTCGGCGAGTCAGTCGAAGACTCGGCGAGTCGGCTAGGGTTTCTCTCAACCTTTGGACACGTATGAACTTGACGAGTTATAAGGGAACTCGATGAGTCAACCTAGGATTTCACGACTTCTCGAAGTTCAGGAAGAACTCGACGAGTCGGTGAACTACACTCGACGAGTTGGGTCAACATGGACTGTTGACCTTGACTGTTGACTTTGACCTTGACCAGGGGTTGACCAGTTGACCTCTGGGGGTATTTTGGTAAATTGGAGATTTATGGAAAAAGGGTTATATGGTAACTACAGGTGGTGGAGTTCGTGTTGGTGATTCGAGAGTTGAGCCTATCATTTTCAGTGCGACATTGTGAGGTGAGTTATCCTCACTATACTCAAGGGTCTAAGGCACCAAGGCCGGCCCTTTGAATTGTTATTTGGTTTGTTTTATGCTAGTATGATTGTTAGATCGGTATCCTAGAGGGTAGGATGATATTATGTGACATGTGGTATGATCTGTTAGTTCGGTATCCTAAAGGGTAGGATAATATTATGCGGTATGTGGTATGATCTGTTAGATCAGTTGTGTCTATAGACTATTATGTGATTATCTGTTATATGTGCACATGTTTGTTTGGCGGTTGAGGCTTGTCTGCTTTGTGCGAAAGCCAATAGACCTGGGCATTCCAACCTGTTGGTTGTGGGCCGTGAGTATTCCATCCCGAGGATGATTGGACTCATAGTATGTGGGCATTCCAACCTGTTGGTTGTGGGCCTGGGGTATTCCATCCCGAGGATGATTGGACCCATAGTATGTTGGCATTCCAACCGGATGGTTGAAGGCCTGGGGTATTCCAACCCGATGGTTGACTGGACCCATAGTATGTTGTTTATGATGATATGTGTATTGTTGTGGGTATGGGTATTTTGGGGGAACTCACTAAGCTTTCGGGCTTACAGTTTCAGTTTATTGTTTCAGGTACATCAGGGGATCATGACAAGGCAAAGGCGTGATCGTACAGCTCCTCACTTTTTATGACTTTGTTCTTGGGATACTCTGATATTATACATTTTGAAAACAAGTTTTGTAATGGTTAATGGTTTTGGAAATGTTTTAAAAGTTTTAAATTGGCTTGAATTTTTGGGTGTTACA